GAAACAGATTATTTATGTTAATAAACCTAAATATACTAAAAATAAAATACTATATATTTGATAATTACTTTTTGAGTGGATTTTTTGTTTATTTTTTTCACCACTGGTGCCAAAAACAGATTTATGTTTGTCTATATAAAAAAAAGAAAAAGAAAGTCAGGGACAAACTCATAAATATTTAAGAATTGTCTCAGCTTAAGGATTCAATTGAAAGTCCTCAATCTAAAGTAAATACTACTGTTTTTTTTAAAGTAATCTAATAATTTGCTTGGGAAAAAGGTTTATGAATGAATTACTTTTTTTCATTTTCCTTATCCTTTTTTTAAATTGTGGTTGCTTCTTTGATGTTAAAACATATTTTTATTCCAGGATTTGTCACGCTAAACATTCTATAATTAAGCTGCTGAAAAATAAATAAGACATGGCTGCGCAATAGTAAAAAATGCAATTTTTTAGTTACACAAATACATTTTTCCCCGATTTGGAAGTTTTTTGATCATCAGAAATCATTTTCCTGCTCCTGTTCATAATGCAGCAGCTGCAGGGAGGTGAGCCTTTTTTTCTGTTTTCAGACACCATTGAGTGAGTTTCAAATTCGACCGGACAATCGGGGTGCAGAGTGGGGGGGTTATCCCTTCAAACATGTGGCTATCACACCTCGGTGGCAAAAGTTCATGTATGCGAGTTAACAGCTCGGAGGTGCAGCTCCTCACGGCTCCTTTTCTCCTCCCTCCGTCTGTCTGTCACACGACTGTAAATTAAATACATTCCTCTGCGACCCAAACGGCTCCCCTCCTTCTCTGCAGCTATTTCTTTGATTCACCACTTTCACCTCTCCTCATTAACAGATTAACTAACAGGCCTTTAGCATTAAGGAGCATTAAGAGCATCCGTCCCAAATCCTTCAAGCTAACGTGATCCAGAGAACCAGGGATCTCCCAGACCAGATCTGTGTTTGTTTTTCCTTCAGGGGTCCCCCTCCCCATATACCTCCCCCCGACTTTATTAGGGGTTGGCAGCTCATCCGTTTCAAAGCTGTTTTGATGTGTCCCTCTTTATCCTGTTTATCTGTCAGGTTGACACACACACACACACACACACACACACACACACACACACACACACAATCACAGGAGTGGCATTACATGTCATTATCTCGAAATAACAAAAACCTTTTTTTTCGAGACGAGAACGAGTTGAAGAAGGAGAGTTAAGGTTTTCCTTGTGTACCATCCAGTAGGCCTGACCTTGGAGACAGCTGGTCATTGATAATGTTTATTATATTATCAGGATCACTTTTTAAATGCCTGCTGATTTCCAGTCTGGTCAGCCGTCTCTTTAAATGTTGAGGGCCGATATGAAAATGATCTGTTTAAGACGAACAAACTGCAATTTAAGCCTGTGTTATGATACAAAAATGACACAAAATTATGAACAATTGATTGACGTAACTGTTTTTAAAAGCTCCCAAMAGGTGTTTTTTGAGCACCTCAACTTTCCCATTCCTTTGTTGCCCCTGTCCCAGGTTATTCAGAATGTGTTAAATTTAAATTTAAAGTTAAGCTTAAATTAGTGAATATTAAATTAAAAGAAAGTTTGTGTGCGCGGGGTGGTGGTGGTGGTATACCATTCAACATTTGTGTGTTGAAGGTGAACTTATCTTAGGATTTTCAGTTTCATCTTGCCATTTATTTACAATATTCTTGAACATGAAACCAGAGGCAGAGATTGTTCAGGGGTTTTTTTTTCTAACGACGTCATCCAGGATCAGCTCCCAGCTCACCTGACACCTGAGAATTACTTTGTTTAAAGTACAACTGAGACACTTGATAACTGACTTTGTCTCAGCTTTTAACTAAGATTTTTTTTTTACACTTAAGTCCATTCTTAACAGCATTCTTAAGAAGTTTCATAAAAATGGGTCATGTTCTGTTTGTTTGTTTTTTTAAATACAGGCCCTGGTGTCTATCTGCAACAGTCACTGAAGGGCATGGAACAAAATGTAAAATGAAATAAAATCATTAGCAGAAGATTTATTTAATCAACACACCAAWTTAAAATGGCAGTTTGGAAAGAATATTAAGTCTTTTTAATCGTATCTATCTGAACCTGATTTAAAGTTACATTCATTTAATGATTTACCAAAAATAATGTCTTGGACACAAGAATTAACTATATTTTTATGGAAGACTTTGATTATACATGTTCTAAAGCAGGGCTATGAACTAAACTGCTCCAGGGGCCACAGTTAATGAAGACCAACAGCACAGGGGTCGAACATAAAGCAGTTATAAACCAAGTATTACAAAGACCTGTCACCTTTAAAATAGTTTATTTTTCTGCATTTAATCATGGATATAACATACAGAACACTATAAAAGTAGTGAAAATAAAATATCGAAAACAAAAACACATTCTATCTCCTATTTAACACAAATATTTTGAAATCTCTGACTTGCCAAAAATTTGAACCAATTTTATTTTCACTTCCATAGTTTTATCTTCAACTGCTTGTAGTTTTAASTTAGATATTCATAGAAATGTTTTTACCAAGTTTTAGCCAAGATTGACATTCCTGTAGAAACCAAACATGACTATGTTTAACTAAAAGTACTTAGTGAAGAAAACTTGGCGTTTGGACTCATATGATAAGGATTTACACATTTGGAAAGTTTAGTTTACTTGGTAAGTCTTTTATTTTGGAATTTACAGTAGRTCAGACAAATAATAATTCTGCCAAATTGACAATTTATTTGAGGAARGATGGGAATAAAAGTGAACATTTTGTTCATTGTGGTCTTCAGTGGAACTAAGAGAAGTCAGGTTGCAGCTCAGTCTGTGGGTCACTGTTTTGTCCAACGTCAACTGATGTGGTGATGACCATCAGGAACGGACTGTAAGTACCTCAAACTGATACTTGAGGGGAAGAACACATAACTTACCATAAAAGGGATCCATGATTAGTTGTAACATTAAACGTTATTTAATAAACATTTATTTTAACTGTAAAATAAAGACTGTAAAAATACTGTAGGATGTTTAGTTTTGTAAATTTTTTAAAATATATTTTAACACGGACGGAACCATTTTATTTACACACAAAGCATTCTGGGTAAATGATGACGTGGATAGGTCCTCGGTGCGAGGCTGCTAGCGAGCTATTTCCACCCTGAAGGTTAATCTTGGACAATATCTGATGATCGACTCTTTTAAATGAAACCAGAGAGCGTTGACAGAGAGGAAAAGGTAGAAATGACTCAGCCTGGAACTGAAAATATGGATGGAGGACAACAGAGCTGCTTCATGGAAGAAGAACCTCAGCTTAACCTGTTAGCCTTTGTGCTAGCACTGATGCTATATTACTTTATATACATTAGCTCGGCACTAGCGCGACAAGCTAAACTGTTGTCCTCCATCCATATTTTCAGTTCCAGGCTGAGTCATTTCTACCTTCTCCTCTCTGTCAACGCTCTCTGGTTTCATTTAAAAGAGTCGATCATCAGATATTGTCCAAGATTAACCTTCAGGGTGGATATAGCTCGCTAGCAGCCTCGCACCAATGACCTACCCACGTCATCATTTACCCAGAATGCTTTGTGTGTAAATAAAATGGCCCCATTCATGTAACATATTTTTAAACTTTTAGTTTAAAAATTATAAAAACTGAACATCCTACAGTATTTTTACTCTTTACTTTACAGTTAAAGTATATGTTCATTAAATAGTCTAATGTTACAACTAATCGGGGATCCCAATATTAAGTTAAAGTCTTGAAGTGTCTGACATTTACTGTATTTAGGTATCAAAAGTAAATTTCATATAAAATGTACTTAAAAGTATTGAGTAAATGTGAGAGGTTAAAATTTCCAAAATGACATTAGGTGACCTCTCTAAACATATGACTGTTTATTTGAAATGTTCATGTAAAAAAAATTAGGATGCAGGCGACCTGTTTCAGCTACATAAACTTAGCACACAAATTAGGGATATTTGTATGAGACGACTGTGGCAGAGATATATAGGCTACTTAGTATATTTGTGTTTGGTAAATTATCTCTTTGTTGTGACAATGCTTCTTGGCAGTAAATCTTATACCATTGGAAAGCCTTTTCCATTTTAAAATGTGCCACATTTATAAGGAATATGCATTTGTGGGATGAGCAGAACTGAGCATGTGGATAGCACACGTAATTAATTTGTCAAATCAGTTTATTTTGCTGCTTTAAATGCATTTTAAGGTGCCTGATTTAAGATTTAATGACCAGGATTGTCACGACAAATAATTTGCCAAACCAAAATTATTTACTGTTCATACCAAGTTTCTCTGCCACACTCATCTCATACGGTCTGTGCAAACAGTATATGTATAACCTTAGAGCTGACAACAAAAACAACAAATGAGATGAAAGACAGCAACAGCAGCAGAGCCAAACACAGGCTTCATCTTTGAGAAACACCTGCCTACCAGAACTGGCCACCTGTAATCAAATCATCAAAAACAGAGTCCACAAGTGAAATTTAACTAATTCAAACCAACTGCATTTTTGAGATGGTTCTGTTTTATCAATCTAAAACCAAGTTAGTCAAAGAATAAATTGATTTTCAGAATTTCAATTTTTCAGTCTTTTATTAAGAAGAGTAGAAAAGATAAATGTGATGTTTCTTTTTAGGCTGTCAACCAACTGTTTTATTATTAGTGGCAGGTATTCCTCATATAAAGACTCCCAAACAGTCTAGGTTATCCATTTCTATTTTTAAACAAACATATTCTTTAACATAAAAAGCCAGGAAAGCTAAACTGGATCACTTTCTTAAATGTTTGTATAGCCAAAACAAAGCAAGTGATATCAGATAAAACTTAAAATATTTCTTTAGTTCAAAAATCACATTAATGTAATTACAGTTTGTCAAAACAAATTAGAAAAAGTCTGCTGCCTTGGGTCTTTTTTGAACTTTCTTTGTTGGTGTACTGGAGAAGGTCTTCTTGCGGGGGGTGGGTGAAGACTTTAGGACCCCAAACTTTGGCTTCTGCTGTGGGTCAAAAGGCACTCGTGACGACCCATCTGGACTCAGCAGTAAACTGCGGTCGGTCTTCTTAAACTCTGCATGACACACAGAACAAGTCAGTTTTAATGGAAACAAGTCTTTACTTTGTTTCTACTACTACATTTCTTTAATTAAACGTTTGTATTGTTGGATCTATAAAACAGCTATATCCTGTCACTGATCAGCTAATTCTTCATCTTTCTAATAAACAGGATAGCCTCTGCTTATAGTGTCTTAAAAAAGTCTAACACAATTATACTTTTAAAATTCTGTAGAAGTGTCTGACCTTCATTTGTTTATTTTCATTGAATTCTTACTTATTATTACGTTTGTCAGATTCAAGTTATTTCTGTGACCATTGTAGGTTTTTCTTTCTTTAAACAAGGGTAACGACAATTTTGTCCACGTGTGTATATCCTGTTTCAACTACAAACTTTGAAGTATTTACCTGAGATTTTATGATAGGCCAACACCAAGTAAAAAAGTGGAAAGAAAATATGCATTTTTAAATTATGTATCATATCATTTATTTTGTGTATTTTAATTTTTTTTTTACAAATTAAAAGCTGAAGTGTGACGTTTATTTAAATTCATCTCACTTTCTTCTGATTCCCTTGAGTAAAATTCAGCGCACCTAATTGCTTTCAGACACTGCATTTAATTTATTTTAGGTATAAATCCAGCTGTTTGGTGAAAGCCTCAGGGCTTTATTACAAAACATAAGCGATTAAACAGCATCATGAAAACCAAGGAACACASCAGATAGTTTAAGGATAAAGTTTTTGAGAAAGCAGTAGCATGATATAAAGAAATATCAAAAGTTTGAAACATCTATTGGAGCTCTGTTCAGTCCATCATGTGTAAACAGATTGAGTATAACAGAACTACAAACCTACATGGCCRTCCACCTAAACTGACAGGCTGGGCACAAAACTGATCTGAGAAATTGCGAAGAAGCTCCCGGTGATTATGGAGTAATTTGCATTTTTCAAAATTTTATTTGACCAAGAAAAAAAACCCCTCTTTGTCTGATCTCTCACCTAGTAAAAAGTGCATCCCACAGACCCCTAATGACCTCTCCCTGGGCTGCCACCTTATCGTGGTGGAGAGGTTTGAGTGTCACCTAAGGCAAACAGGTCTTATGTGAAGGATCAAACAAAGTGTAGCCCGAAGACCCCTAATGATGAGTGCTAACATTGGATTTAAAGTTCCCTTGCCCAGACGCTGGTCACTGAGGACCCACTCTGGAGCCAGGCAGGGAGGTGGGGCACGTTGGCGAGCGCCAACGGCCAGGCTTTTACCCATGGAGCACGGTCGGGCACACCCTCTGTTAACAATAGGTATTAATTAAGGTGAACGATAGCCATGTGATGTGAGTATCAGTCACCTGTGAACCATGGCCATGTGATGT